GGGAAAGAGGAAATAGTGACCAAAGAGCAAGGAGAAGACAACCAAAGGATGAGAAAGCAGTGAGTCGATTAAGAGGGATGAGGAGAGGGTGAATAGGGAGTCAGTACAGTTGAGAAGGGTCCAGTCATAGTTAAGTCATGGCTGGGATGGAAGCCTAGAGCAAGGGGTGGAATAAGGCATGAGTAAGGGGTGAGGTTGAGTAGAGAATGAGGAAGGAGTGAGTAGGAGTAAAGAAAGGCTAGATTGGAGTTGGAAAATGGTGAGGTGCAAACAAACAGGGAGGAGGGAACAAGGAAAGGACAAATGAGGAGAAGGTAGAAGATGAGTAAAGGGTAAGTGGAGAGGGGTAAATGGAGAGCAACTTGTGGGAACAGGGCAAGGGAAAAAGGAAAAAAGGGGAGTGAGGGGTAATCATCCCTCATTTTGCAGACTTAGTGGTGCCTTTGACCGAAATAGTAAAGGCAGCGGCTCAAAAGGTGAGGGATGCACTATGTACGCAGCCACTACTATATACACCAGACTTCAATAAACCATTTGTGGTATTGACAGATGCGTCCAACTGGGCTATTGGTGTGGTGTTGTTCCAAATGGAGGAAGGAGAAGAACGTCTAATAGCATACATCAGTAGAAAGTTACACCCTCCAGAAAGAAATTATGCTATAATAGAAAAGGACTGTTTGGCCATCAAATGGGCCATAGAAACACTCCGATATTATCCGTTAGGTCGGAAATTTACGTTAATCATGGGCCACGCTCCGCTGTGATGGCTACAGAGTATGAAGACTGATAACGCTAGGCTGATGAGATGGGGCCTTAGTCTCCAACCATACTGCTTTGAGGTGGAGCATTGCCCCGGGACTAAGAATGTAAGTGCTGATTTTTTGTCAAGACAATATGAAGAGGAAAAGGGTCCAGAGGAGAAGGGAAGACCCCAGACAAAAGAGAAGGGGGTGGGGTGTAACAGGGGACCCTAGCCCTGTCACCAGAAGGCATGTCCACCCCTTTAAGGCCAGAACTTAAACTCTAATGGAGTGCTGGGAAAGAAGGGGTTAAATGATGAGCCTGGCCAGCTGACTAGAAGGGGTAGGACTATAAAAACCCTGGGCAGAGTGGCAGTTTGTGGGGAGCAGCTGAAGTGGAAGGAGTGTTTCAGAGAGCTCCATGAAGGAGCGGTCTAAAGACAGGAAGAGGGGAACCACGGAAGCCCGGGAGAGACAGCAGCCACATCACAGCAAGGATGTGAGCTGATGGGTGGGGAGCTGAAGCACAGACCCTGTGAATGTAAGCTGACATGCTGCTTTTCTTTATCACATTAGCTGGTGGCAGTTATTACCCACGGACAGGACCTTTTATTTCTTTTTCTTTTTGATTAATGAATAAGAGCAGTGGTTTGGGTGAGGCTATTAGGGGAAGGAGAAGGCCTCATTTTGGGGACCCACTATGGAGTGGGGACCCCGGCACCGGCGAGGGCGCAGCTTTTGGGGCACAGACCCTGGCGCCTGAAGGCACAATCTTAAAAAGTGTGGGGAGGTCTGGTGCACCTGGGGTGCAGTTTTATTTTGGGGGGGGTTTGGACTGGGAGGGTGTGAGTTTGGGGTCATCCCCTGGTTTTGAACTTGCAGCCCCCTAGCTACGGGGCCGGCACCTGGACCACTGGGCCAGGGGGACCGGGTTCCAGATTAGGGAAGGAAAGGGGCCCATGAGCGTCAAGACACCGGAAAAGGCTAGAGCCTCAGAGTCAAACTCTGTTTAGTAGGTTTAGATGGGGAGGCCTAGCTAGAGAAAAACAGGGGTCAGGCCCACATAGGTGAAAGGCCCCCACATACACAGTACAATAGGCAGTCTCCGGCTCGCAAGAACATTATTGTAATTTCCATCAAGACATGGCAGGAAAGTATAGGGCAGGACATAAGAACTCCAAAGAAGACTCCAAGGGTGCCCCACTTAAGGTGCGGATTACCAGGAAGATGGTGCTGGGGAAGGCGACATGTTACACTTCCCCACTGGGATTCCAGATGGACTCAAGATTCCGGACGGACCGCCAGGCCTACAGTCAGGGAGGACCTAGTTAAGGAACTTCTGGTGGGGCTAGACATTTTTAAATCAGCAGGTCCAGATGATCTCTACCCCAGGATGCTGAGGGAATTGACAGGGGTCATTGCGGGACCCCCTGGCATGGCTTTCTGAGCGCTCATGGTGCTCTGACCACGTGCCTGAGGACTGAAAAAGGGCCAATGTGGTCCCCCTTTTCAAAAAAGGGAGGAAGGAGGACCCAGGAAATTATAGGCCCATTAGTCTTACCTCGGTCCTGGGGAAGCTCTTTGAGAAAATTATCCAGGAGCACATCTGCGAGGGCCCAGCAAGGGAGATTATGCTTAGGGGCAACCAACATGGGTTCATTAGGGGCAGGTCCTGTCAGCCCAACCTGGTTGCCTTTTACAACCAAGTCACAAAATCCTTAGACAGGTGTTGTGGTAGACGTAGTCTTTCTGGACTTTAGGAAGGCCTTCGACACGGTCTCTCACCCCATTCTCATTAAAAAAATTAGGCGACTGTGGCACTGATGCCTACACAGTCAGATGGGTCGCAAATTGGCTAGAGGGCCACACCCAGAGAATGGTGGTGGACAGGTCATTTTTGACCTGGAGAGATGAGGGCAGTGGAGTCCCCCAGGGCTCAGTCCTTGGGCCACACTGTTTAACATCTTCATCAGTGACTTGGACGAGGAAGTGAAAAGCACCTTGTTCAAATTTCCAGATGACTAAGATATGGGCAGAGGTGAGCACAATAGAAGGAAGGGACAGGCTACAACTAGATCTGGACAGGTTACAGGGGTGGGTGGATGAGAATAGGATGAGATTCAGTACAGACAAGTGCAAGGTACTGCACCTAGGGAGAAAGAACCAGCAGCATACCTATAGTTTGGGGAACTCCCCTCTCATCAGCACAGAGGCAGAAAAGGATCTTGGAGTCATTATTGATTCCAAGATGAACATGGGCCACCAATGTGAGGACACGGTCAGTAAAGCTAACCGCACTTTGTCATGCATCCGCAGATGCATCACAAGCAGGTCCAAGGAGGTGATCCTTCCCCTCTATGCGACATTGGTAAGGCCGCAGTTGGAGTACTGCGTCCAGTTCTGGGCACCGCACTTCAGGAGGGATGTGGACAGCATTGAGAAGGTCTAAAGGAGGGCTACTCGCATGGTCAGGGGGCAGCAGGGCAGGGCCTATGAAGAGAGGCTACAGGACCTGAACCTGTTCAGCCTCTACAAGAGAAGGCTGAGAGGGGATCTGGTGGCCATCTATAAGCTTACCAGGGGGGACCAGTGGGGAATGGGAGAGTCCCTGTCCCCCCCAAGCACTACCAGGAGTAACTAGGAATAACAGCCACAAGTTGATTGAGAGTAGGTTCAGGCTAGACATCAGGAAGCACTACTTCACAGTTAGGGTGGCTAGGATCTGGAACCAACTTCCAAGGGAAGTGGTACTCACTCCTATCCTGGGGGTCTTCAAAAGGAGGCTAGATAGACATCTAGCCAGGGTCATTTGACCCCAGCATTCTTTCCTGCCCATGACAGGGGGCTGGACTTGATGATCTGCTCAGGTCCCTTCTGACCCTACCAACTATGAAACTATGAGGGGGTGGGGCTAGGGAAGCATAGAAACAGGAGTGCTTCCCTGCTGAAAACCTAGGCATCCAGGCTTCCATTTCTTATTCACCAGCCTCTACTGCCCTTCCCAGACCTGGAAAGAACCCAGGTGTCTGGGCTCGCAGCTGCTGTGTTCTGACCCCGCAAGCCCCACTCTCTCCTCCCTGCTGAGGAGAGAGAACCCAGACTTCCAGAAGCCACCCTAGTGAAAGTGGCTTCTCTACCCATTTCCCTATAACCTTTGGTACCCAAGCCTAGCCAAAACTGTGGGGCAGAGAAAGGCAGCCAACTCTGGGATAAGGCAACTGGGGAACAGCATAACATGGCCTGGGAGGCTTGGGTGACACCCAGCACCCCTGATCCCAACCTGGGGGGGTTGTACAGCTCCCAGTGCCCCCATGGGGAATGGAGGGCAGATGGGGCAGGAGCATTTATGGACCAGTAATGTGGAGGGAGGTCCCCATTGAGAACCCAGGCATCTGGGCTCCCCCTCCCCTTTTGCTCTAACCCACTAGCCTTCACTCCCTTCCCAGTGAACTCAGGCAGCCCAACTCCCAGCCCCTTCCTGCTTCAACCCCTTGAACTGGGGAAAGAACAAAGCAGACTCCCAGTTCTCCCCTTCTTTTAACTCACAAAACTCCATTCCCCTCCCACGAGCTGGGAAAGAACCCAGCCATCCAGGCTCCCAGTGCTCCTCTTCTAACCTGTTTGATCCTCCTGCAGGACTGGCAGAGAACCCAGGCCTCCAGACTCCCCATTCTAACTTATCAGACCCTACTCTTATGGAGCAGGGCAAGAACCTAGGCAGTCAGGCCCCACCCCCCTACCTGAGCAGCGTCTGGCAGATGTCCAACTGTCTGTTCGTCCCTAATTTGGGGAGTAGGGGTTTATAGCTTCTATTCAGGTTCCCCTAGGACCAGGGGGCAGGTGGTGGAGACAACAGCCCTATGGGAGCTCCTAGTCACCCCTTGTTCCCCATACTCATTAACAACCTCATGCTAATTGCCCTTCCAGAAATCCACCCCCCACAGCTAATTACCCTAGTCAGTAACCAGGGGGAAATTTCCACCACGAAATGATTCTTTTCAACCTGGTATTTGAGCCCTTAAAGGGAAGGGAGAAAGATCACTACCATATTTCCATGTATATAATGTGCTCACCAAAGCCCCATATCTTGCCACACTCCCTTCCCAGTGTTCACAGCTCCCTCCCAGTCCTGCCCTGCCCCTCCCCAGTGTCAAATTCCTGTCCATGCCACCCCTCACCAGGGCCCTCCAACCCCAATCACATCTGAGCCCCTCCAACCTGGTAGCTGCCTTGTTCTGCCCAGGAACTTGTGACATAGGGCAAGGAGAAGCAGGTGAGGGGGGTCAAGTGGAGTTGGAGGTCAAGGTTGGGTTAGGGTACAGGTCAGAGGTTAGTGCCACTGCCCTCCTTTCCCCTGCCCTATCAGTTACTCTGCTTTCTGCCCGGTTGCCTGACCCACTGTTCTGTTATCTTCTCCCTGCCCCATCCATTGCTCCATGGGATGTTCTTTCTGCTCCCTGCCCTGCTGCTCCATTTTTTTCTCCCTGTCCATCTTCTGTTCTGTTTTCCCTGCCCTGTGCCTCCTGCTCCATCAGATGCTCTGCTTTCTGCTTCCTGCCCTATACTCCCTGTCCAATCTGCCACATAACTCACACAGACTGCCTGTGTTATGTGCAGTACACATACCACAGAGTTAGCATTGGAGGGATTGGGTTAGGTTGTGTTTCAGAGTGTGAATGGGAGTCAAGGCTCAGGTTAGAGGTTGGTTGGGGGGGTAGGGGTTTGACTAGGGATTATGGTTCCTGTGGATTAGGGGTGGGGTTGAGGTTAAAATTAGTTAGGGTGGAGATTGGGTTGGGGTGTAGTTTGAAGTTATGGTTTAAAGTTTTTTTTATGGAGGTAGGAATTAGGATTAATGGCTCTGGTTGGGTCAGGTCCGAAGTTTGGGTTAAGGCTGGTTGGAGATAAGCGTCAAATTGGGGTAAGAATGAGTTGTGCTAGGATGAGGCTCCAAGTGTGGATTGGGGTCGTCTTGGATTCAAATTCATGTTGGGAATAGCATCTGAGATTAGGGGTTTTAGTTTCCTTGGATTAGAGGTAGGGTTGAGGTTGGGATTAGAGTTTAGCGTTAAAATTAGGAGTTAGGGTGGAGGTTGGGTTGGATTAAGGTAAAGTTCAGAGTGTGAACTGGGGTTAGAGTTTAGGATTAGGGGGAAATCATGGTTTGGGTATGTCCAAAAATTAGGATTAGTGTTGGTCGGGTATGGGGACCAGGTTGGCTTGTGTTAGGGTGAGGATCCAAGATCCTAAATCCAAGACTGGGGTCATCTTGGATTTAGGGTTGGATTGGGGGGTAGGGGCTAGAATTAAGGAATATGGTGCCCATGGATTAGGGGTGGGGTTGATGTTAGGATTAGGATCAAAGTTAATGTTGGGTTGAGTTAAGGGGAAACAACTTCTTGTATGTTTGGGGGTTAGGGTTAGGTTTTGATTTAGAGTTGGGATTGAGATTAAGGCCTTTGGTTGGGTCTGGTCATGTCCAAAAATCAGGATTAGGAGTGCTTGGGGATAGAGGTTACTTTAGGGGTTGAGTTGAAATTAGTGGTCAGAATGGGTTGTGTTAGGATGGGAGTGTGGATTGGAATTGGGTTGTATTTAGGGTTAAATTGGGGGTGGGTTAAATCCAAAATTAGGATTATGGTCGATTGGAGTTAGGTCAGGACAAGGGTCAGGGGTACATTTGGATTTTAGTAGGGTGTGATAGGAATTGTGGACATGGGTTAGGGTTTAGGTTTCCCTTGGATTATGGGTGGGGCTGAGATTGGGATTAGGTTTGAGGTTGAATTGTGTTAGGGTAAGATTTTAGGCTTTAGGATTAGGACCAAATTGAGAGACAGGTATTGGGATTAGGATTAAGGGCTCTAGTTGACTCTGGTCCAAATTTCTCTTTAGGGATTGGGGATGGGGGTGTGATGGCCAGAACCAGAGGGATTAATAAACAATAAATATGTGCTTCTTGGAGGCATTTGGTATTTTGCCTAGCAGGAAACATTAGCTAATATAAAGCTTGTAAATTCATAACCTGCAAATGTAAGTTGTCTGTCATAAGTTTAACCAAAATGATAAAACTAACTTTGTATTAATTGTGGAACTGACTGGGCCCCAAAGGCAAAACTGTAGCTGCAAGATTAGCTGACCTAATGGTTTTTGCTCAGGGTTCAGCCTTGACGATAAAAACTGGATCCAACCGCCTGGCACACCCAACACATTCCAGGAAAGCATGTCCCAAGAAGCATATTCAGAGAAACCTAAAAGGGTTGGGTTTAGGTGGAGTAATGTCAATTTCAAACCTAAAGGTGCTGCATTGTAATTTGCTTATTGGATAAACCCGAGTCTAGGTAGTAACCTTTTATGATAATTTTTAACAACTTTCAATCCCATAGGGTAACATCTATAGGGCAAGATTGTGAGTGGCTCTAAAACCAACAGATTAGCATAAAACTAGGTATAAAAAAAAAGCTCGTGCGTCGGGTGACTAGCAGGAAGGAGGGAACAGAACGGTCATTGCTGTTCCAAGCCTGGACTCCCGGTGTGAGTGAGGATCGGATCCTGATCAAGGGATCTTCCCCGGTAATCCCTCCCACAGCGTCAAGGGGGACGCCTGACTTTGCTGGAATCACTTGGTGCACACCTGGCATCAAGGGACTGTTGATAAATTGCCAACCCATGTCTGTCTATCTGTTGTTTTGAACAGCCCAGTGGCTGATACCTTCGCAGTGCCCAATTGGCCTGTGAGAGAATCGATCCATCTATCTGTTGTTATTATTTACTATTGGCTCTTTAATCCTGCATTATCTGCTTATCACATTTATCTTTCTGTTAACTGTTGTGCGCGTGTAAGCTATAATAAATTTGCCTTCGCTTCACTCCCAATTTTTGTTTCAGATCGAGGAGGCAACCAAAAAGCCCGGTGTCTGATACTCTCGCAGTACCCAGTTGGCCTGCGATAGAATTGATACGTTTACAGTGCCCAGCTAGTCTGTGACATGGGGGCTGGGTCAGGGGTTGGGTTGGGATCAGGGCTGAAACTGGGTTGTACCAGGGTGAGGTTCCAATTGTAGATTAAGGGTGACTTTGTGGGTTGGGATTAGGGGGTTATGGGTCCCTTGGATTAGGGGTAGGGTTGAAATTGGGATTAGTTTTGAGGTTGGGATTAAGACTACAGTTCAGGGTCAGGGTGGAAGTCAGGCTAGGATGAGGTTCAAAGGGTGGTTGGGGGTGAGCGTTTGGGTAGGGATGAGTTCGGCACAAGGACTAAGGGCTCTGGTTTGGTCAGGTCCAAAAATTGGGATTAGATCAAAAGTGAGATTATTTGACTCTTTCCAATGTTCCCCCCTCAGCACTGTCAAGGGGAAATCCTCCATTATCAACCAGGCCAGAAACATGCAACCACCAACCTCAAAGCCAAAGACAAGGCCCCCAGACTCCAATAGCCACTGCCCCAGAGGAAGCAATTGCAGAGATTCAACTCACCAGTGATGTCCCCTGTTCACCAGAAGCCTGAGAGGCTCCCATGGGGGGGGCGATGGGGTGGGGTAGGGTAGGAGTAGGAGTTAGGGTTGGGCTGGGTAGGGATTAGGAATGGGATTATAATTGGGTAAGGATTACAATCAGGATTTGGTTTGGGTTAGGGATTAAGTGTGGGAATGCGGGGCAGGCATTAGGGGTGGGTTAGACTGGTATTTTGGATTAGAATTAGGAAGGGAACTGGGATTAGGGATTAAGTGTAGGAATGGGGGGTAGGGGTTAAGTGTGGGTTGGGTTGGGCTGGTATTAACGATCAAATGGGAGTTAGGGTCACTGGATCCAAGTGGTCTGGGATTGGGGTTGGGTGAGGGGTTGTGCCATTTAGTCTTTGTCAGGTTCAGATCTTGAATTAGGATTAGGGTCTGAAGGTAAAACTGGGTTGGGGGAGGAATCAATTCAGAATCATGATTGGGAGTGGTTGAGGATTAGGGTTTAGTAGGGATTGTTTTGGGTTAAAACTAGGTTTGGTTCAGAGTTAGCATTAGGGTCTGGATTGGGATAGTATTAGGTTTAGGCCTTGGATTGGGGCTGGTTTGGGTTTAGGTTTAAAGTTAGGATTGGGTCCAAATTAGAACATCCTGGATTGTAATTAGGGTGAGGGGTAGAGCCAGGTTTGGATTGGGATTGGTTTGAGGTTAAATTTAGGATTAGGTATTGGACAGGGACAGGGATGGGGATAGGCATGACGGTTAGGATCAGGTTTGAGGTTAAGTTTAGGATTAGGACTTGGATTGGGATAGGTTTGGGGTGAGGGTTAGGGATTGCATTAGGGTAGTGTGTCTGGGGTTCAGATTAGGTTCAGGGTTTAGATTGCAACTGGTTATGGGTGACTGCTGGATTAGGGCTACATTCACCATTGAGATCAGTCATGGGCAAGCCCCGGGGTCCAGTTGGAGGTAAAAGGGAAACTGCAGCACTGGCCATACATAGAGACTGAAGAACCATGGTATCTGGGCACCAGGGAACCACAGAGGCTCAGACTGACCCTGCTTCCCCCTCCCCCCCTCAGTTCAAGCTGGGGAAGATGAGCTAAGCGAGAACTCTGAAGCCCATTAAACCACAGCCCCGTCCCTGGAGCACCCTGCAGAGCTCCCTCATCCACCAGGGGCTTGTTAACAACTGTCTCACCTGGGGACCTGGTGGTTTTTGACAAGCAAAAAAGCAGGAGCCAGGGGGAGTGGTGATGCATGACAGGGCCCCAGAGAGGCCTGAGACCACCACCCTGGAGGGGCTGGGCCCAGCTGGCAGAGCCAAGGCCAGCCCCAGACCACTGTTTACCTCAGCCTAGTAGGCCTCAAAGCCTGCCTGGGCATTGCCCCCACAACTTGGCCATCTCTATGGAAGCACCCCAGATCGCAGCCGGCCTCAGAAGCCTACCTTGGAGCTGTCCACACAGCGTGAACGTCTCTGTGGAACAATCCCACACATAGGGTGGCCTGTCGGCTTTAAAACTTGTCAGAGTTGTCCACACAGCTTGGATGCCCCCATGGAAATGCCCTATACCCATCTTGGCCCTATAGGCCTCAAAACCTGCTTAGAAGTTGTTTCCTCTAGCTGGGTTGTCTCCATGGAAACACCCCACACCCAGTCAGGCTCAAAGCCTGCCTAGGAATCATCTTCCATAGCTTGGCCACATCCAAAGAAACACTCCAGGACTAGCATAGTAGGCCTCAAAGCCTGCCAGGAAGTTCTCCCCACAGCTTGGCCACAGAAACACAGCCTGGGGAGGGAGATGGGTAGAGGAACAGATGGGTGCCCTGCTCTGATCCCCAGGCAGAGAGTACACAATGGACAGCCCCACATACCCACCCCCAACAGTCAATGGCTGGGCAGAGGTAAGACATAAAGCCCTGTGTTTCCACTTGGGGCTGGGCACAACACATGACACAAAACTCACCTACTCCTTAAAACTTTTAATACATAAAAAAAATAGAGACCAGTTTGTGGGGGGGGGCAACCCCCCCCCCATTCTCATCTTTTGGGGGAAGGGCAAGGAACCAACAGAACCTGGGCAGGGGAGGGAAGGAAATCTGTGCTTGGTACCCCCCTGCCCCCTCCCCCGTGAGCCGGGGGGATACAAGGGGGGTGGGGGAGAAGGAAATGGGGGGTTGGATATGGCTTCGGTGGGCAAAAAAAACTCCCTGAATTACAGACCCCAGGGAGGGGGGTGGGGCTTGGCTCCCCTCTCCCACACAGGCCCTGCCCCTCCCCTTCCCAGCCCCAGCCCCTCCCCAAACAGCCACCGAGATGCCAGGGATTCAAGTTTCAAACAAAGAATCACAAAACCCAAAGCAGGGAGGGGGGCCCAAGGGGGGTGGGGCCTATTGCTTTGCCATGGGGGCAGGCTTATCTGTCTGTCCAGCCCCACCCACCCAAGCCTAGGCCGGGAAGACAGGGGGAAGGGGCAGCTATGGGGGATGGGGGGCTGCTCCCCCCACTCAAAATAGGCCATGGGGGACAGGGCCAGACTGGGGGATGTGGGAGTGGCCAGTACAAACCTTGCCTTGCCCTGCCCTCCCCCTCCAGCCTAAAACAGGACAGGAAGTGGTGCTCCAAACCAGGAAGCAAGGCCTTCTGTACTCTTAGACCTTTCATGCCAATCCTACCAGCCAGAAAGATAAAGCACTGGACAGGGGGCTGCCCCTCCCCTAAGCACAGCAAAGGGGCAGGGCCACCCCAAGTCCCTCCCATACATTCAACAAGGGGTGGGATCACCTCAAGCTCCTCCCATATGTCCAGCAAGGGGTAGGGCCACCCCAAACCCCTCCCCACTTAAGCACAAGGGGTGGGAAGGGGAAGCAGAACCAGTACAAACAGAACCCTGCTCCCCTCCAACCACAACATAGGAAGTGGCACTGCCAAGATAGGATGTCCCTTCCCCCTCCCTCCTTTTATTCCAGTGTCACAAAAATAGAAAGCTCTGTTCGGGGTGGGGCTGACAAGGCAGGGGGCAGGGCAGGGCTAGCTGGGGGGAGGCCCAGCCCCTGAGGGCCAGGGCTCCAGGCTGCGGCAGCGGGGGCAGGGCCCGGCATAGACCAGCACGGCGCAGGCCGGGGAGCGGGGACCGGCAGGGCAGCCGGGGCAGAGGCGATAGGCCTCCAGGTCACAGATGAGCTCCACCACCTCATCCACAGTGGTGAGGCGAGGCGGGTGCCCAGCATAGAGCTGGTGCTCAGGAGGCACAGGCAGGTCACACGCCACCACCTGGAAGAAGAGGCCTGGGCGAATACGGATGACAGCTGAAGCCACAGTAGAGCGAGCTGAGCGCTGCACCAAGCGCAGGTCAGGCTCCCCACGAGGCGGCACCACCTCCCAGTGTGCTGGCAGTGGGATCTCCTGCAGCTCGGCCAGGAAGCGCCGCAATGCCGCGTCCTCAGGCGGGGGCGGGCGCCGGGCCCCCAGTGCCAGCGTGCCCAGGCTCAGCACCTCCATGATCTAAGGAGACAGATGGAGGCATGAGGGCAGAATGGGACCCCCCCATCCCGAACACAGATACCCCCACCCTCCCATGGGCTCAGGCTCAGCACCTTCATGATCTGATAAGAGAGAATACCTATGCCCCCCTCAAATACCCAGTCACAGCCCCGCCTCACCCACCACCAGCCCCCATGGCCAGCCAACTACCTCACCCCAACAGAAATCCACTGCTGTCCCCATCACAGTCAGAGCTCCCAGGCCAAGTACCCCAGCACAGCCAGGCCCCCTGGTTCCCCCAACCACTGCTCCCATAGCCAAGCCTTGTCATACCCAGGCAGAGCCCTACAGCTGCCCCCTGCAAAGCCAGCCCCCCACCCCGTACAGAGCCAGGCAACCCCCACCACATTTTTCCCTCCACCCCCAGCCCATACAAGCAACCCCCTCCAAGGCCCCAGCCCTCACCACAGGCGTGGGCTCCTCCTCCTCCTCCTCTGTTTCATCCAACACCACCACGTCCCCGCCTGGCCCCCGGCCCTCGGCCTGCGGCGATGGCACCTGCAAAAGGCAGCACTCAGGCTCCGAATACTGAGGGGGCCAGACACCTGGGTTCTTTCTAGCTACTGGATGGGGAGCAGGGCCTGGGAGTCCAGACACCTGGGCTCACTCTTGGGTTTGGGAAAGGAGTAGGGGCTCAGTGGTGAAAACAAGGAGTCTGGACACCCGGGTCCTATCCCCGCTCTTGGAGAGGAGTGGGACTAGGGGTTTAGAACAGGGGGGCTGGAAGCCCGGATGCCTGGGGCCCACATCCTCTCCCCTCTCACAACAGAGCCCATGACTGTCAGACAGGGGACTCAGGCATCTGTCCAAGGGTGAAGGGGGAGACTTACCGAGACGAGGGTTGCCGGTGAGCGCTCCCCAGGGCTGGGCTCTACCTTCTCCTGCTTGACATGAGGTGCCGAGGCAATGAGGAAGCCCAGGTCGGGCAGGCTGGCGCTGGGCTCTGGGACCTGGGACTGGGGGGGGGGGGCCAGCAGCAGCAGCCTGTGAGGGTCACCTCCTATACACACCTAGCAGCAAGGCAGGCCCCCTGCCTGCCTTATAAATCACCCCTCCCCCAAAAGGGCTAAGATCCCCTTCCTCCCACGGGAACTCAGAATGCCCCATGAGGCTCAGACCCTCTCCCACCCCCCCAAGGGGACTCAGATTCCTTCCACCCCTTGTCAGGCATCCATCTCCCATGGGGAGTGGGTCTCACCTCAGCACGTGGGGGGGCTGGAGCAGGCTCCTCTGGGACGCGCTGCAGCAGGAGGGGGAAGGCGCGGGGGGGCGCAGGGGGGAGCAGCACCAGGTCACGCCCCGGCCGCTCTGTCACCAGTGCCAGGGGCCCAGGCGGCTCTGCCCCCCCCGATCCCCGCTTCTCAGCCCCCAGTAGCACATCCACCCCTGCCGGGGCCTCCTTGTCCTGTGGAAGGAGGGGAGGGACAGGTTAGTGGGAGGGCACATTCAGCCCACTCCCCCGTCTCTCTAAAGTGGCAGGGAACCCAGGCATCCACTGGGCTCCCAGTCCCCTGCTTTAACTCCCCAGCACCCACACCCCTCCCAGAGAACCCAGGCATCTGGGCTCCCAGCCACCCAACTCTGCTCTAAGCCCACTCCTGTCCTGGGACAACCCAGGCATTTGGGCTCTCAGCACCTTCTGTTCTGATCCACCATCTCCAACTCCCCTCCCAGAGCTGGAAAGGACCCAGGTGTCTGGGCTCCCAGCCTCACCCACTTTTCTTCCAGAGCTGGAGAGAACCTAGGCGTCCCAACAAATCAGATCAGGGCTGAGGCAGGTCACAGGGGGGCATGGCTGCCCTGGAATAAGTGGCATTAACCCGTCACCTCCCAGCCCTGGCCACAATCCAGCCCCCCACTCCAGAAGACCATGTGGGGGGCAGAGACCCACATGACTGGCACAGCCCCCCACACCCCACCCCTTCCAGCAACAGAATGGAAACTGAGGCATGTGGCCCCTGTGAGTCACTACCACAGAGAACCCAAGAGTTCAGGCTGCAGCTTTAACCCCCCACACTCAACCCCACCAAGCAGCAAGGGAGAATCCAGAAACCTGAGCTCGCAGTACTAGTCTGCCACACACTACCACCCACCCGGGCACCCCTCCCTCTAACCACTACTCCCACTCCCCTCCCAGAGGCATCTGGACCCATTAACATACAGACTCTCTGGCCACAGAACCCAGACATCCAGAACTCCCAGCAATGTGCCAGTAATCTCCCCTCTCCTCAAAACAACCGCAGAACTGACCCCCTGCCCTCTAAATACAACTCGAGAATGCAGGTGTCTAGGCTTCTCGCCCCCTCCCCGCTCCCAACAACCAGCCCCCTGCCCTCTCAGTACAACCATGGAACCAAGGCATCTGGGCTCTCAACCCCCTCCCCTCTCAATACAGCCATGGAACCCAGGCATTCAAGCTCTTGTCCCTGCCCCTGCTACAAACAACCAGGAACCAGGCATCTGGGCTCCCAGCCCTTCCCCTCTCAAAATAAAGGGTGTCTAGGCAGGCTCCCAACCTCCCCCACTCCCACAACAACTAGGCAACCCAGGTGTCCAGGACCTTTTACGCCCCACAACACAAGGCCCAAAGTATGCAGAAGGTGACAGAGAAAGGAGAAACAGGGGTGGGGCCAGAGCTGGCTGTAGTTGTGTGATGGGTGTGGGTGCAGGTAGTTACTTGAGAGTAGAGGACAGCAGGGAACTGTCCAGGATGCAGTGATGTAGGAATCTGGCAGGGCAGAACCAAAGCTAGGAGACAGGGAGCTGCCCAAGGCAGTGAGGTAGGGGCAGGGCCAAAGGCAGTTGTTGGGGGGGG